AAAGAGTGTGTCCTATGCTATGCAAAACCATCTACCTCCAAGTTAAGAATGTACACGTGAAGAGAAGGGGAGGCACCAAAGCAAACTGCAAAGTGGCGGCAGTGACCCGGTGGCAGCACCTCTGGGTTGGTTTCCTTTGATCAGTGTCTGCTTAGTGGCAAAGCTGGAAACACAGGATGCTCTGTGAGGTAAAGCCTTGGCCGGGTACCACAGCATCATGTAAAATGCAGACCGCCAGGAAGTTACCCAGCAGGGAGAAGCTGCTCTCTGGTCCAGAGGTGGCAGGACAGTAGAGTAACCTGTCCTCTGTTTGTGTGTTTTCCAGGCTGGAACAGGAAATACAAGCACTGGAAAGTGAAGAGTCCCAGATATCTGCCAAAGAGCAAATCATCCTAGAGAAACTAAAGGAGACAGAAAAATCCTTCAAGGACTTTCAGAAGGTGAAGCAAACAAATGTGATTTCTCTCAGTTATATCCCTGAGGAAGTAAGCACTAGTAGAATGGTGCCAATTGGAGAAAAGGCCAGTTGGTATTGATGAGGAGACACAGCCACACAATCTGAGGGGCAGATGCGTGAGGACCAGTGCCACCTCTGAAGCTGAGAGTGGCCTGTCTTCAGGGGTGGGTCCACCTGGCCCACCAGAAGCACAGAGAAGAGTCGTGAAATTAACCCTGTCTCCCTACAGTCCAAACCCTTTATATGCCTAATGCCTGAAAAGTCATCTCCCATTAGACTCTAGAATTCTAAAACCAATTCTTATGAAGCAGATTAAACAGACTCCCTGTGGCTTTAAGTCTTTCCTTTATAACAAGGCCAAAGACAAAACCATATCAAATGGGCACGAACTCCAAAAACAAAGCATCAGTGAAACATGAAATTTTACTGTACAGGCATGCCTTGGAGGTATTGCAGGTTTGGTTCCAGACCACTGAAATTAATCAAATATTGCAATAAAGTGCGTGTCATGAATTTTTTGGTTTCCCAGTGCGTATAAAAATTATGTTTATACTATACTGTAGTCTATCAAGTATGCAGTAGCATTATGTGTAAAAAAAATGTGCATGCCTTAATTAAAAATAATGCTATTGGAACAATGGTGCTGACAGATCTGCTTAACTGGGGGTTGTCAAAAACCTTCAATTTGTAAAAAATGCAATATTGAGGCCCAATAAAATGAGGTATGCCTGTCTGTGAAAACAGATGGTACTGTGTAGCAAAAGGAGAATCCATAAAGCCAGCAGGCTCTGAATAACTCAGGACCCTCCCTCCATTTTATAACACGTGTTTCCTCAGGTACCCAACAGTTGATAGGAAAGCAGTCTAATCACATTCATTTTAAGATGGGATTTTCTGATATCACTTCTCCAACACAACCAAGGGTATTTGCTGAATAATTGAAATATATCTCTTGTAGGAGAAATTCGGTGTAAGGTGGGAAGGGTAAACCTTTCCCTTACATTTCAGGATCCCAAACAAATTTCCCAGAAGGAAAGAAAGCATGGGGTTTGCCCACCACAGTCAAGTTCTGGGGGAGAAAGATGGGTTAAATGAGTGAGGGGTCATCTCCCCACGTGTGTAGTGACGCTCTGCCCTGCTTTTGTTTCCACAGAGCTTCTCCAGTACGGATGGAGGTAAGTGTAAGCACTCTCTCCCCATCTGTACCTGAATATTTTCATCCATCAGCTTAGTGGGTTTCATTAACACAGGCTCACCGGGAGACGCGATGTGTTGGTTTGTAAGGGCCTCAGAAAGAAGGGGAGTGCTGTTTGCGGGCGCTCAGGAGGGCCACGCGCCCGGTCTCCTCTGCCTCACCTCTTTAAGGACTGCTTCTTGACCAACTCTTTCCAGGCTTACACAGTTGGCCTGGCTCTTCTCCTTCCCATTTGGTCCCCAAGGTTCACTGCTTTGACCTCTCTTGAAATATGTTCAGCCAAGAGTGCCAGCCTCAGGACCAGTTCCCTGGTAGGGATGAGGCCACTGGTGCTGGTGGTTAGGTCTCCAGGTTACAGTATGCGGCAGGAGCCCATCATCTGATGTTTAGGAAACCTTCCTAAGGCCTCTGGTTTTACTTTGAATCAAAACTGCAGTTTCTCCAGCCTTCCAGGGAAACAGAGCTGGGCAGAACCTCCCTCCCTGTGGGGCATGGTTGGCCAGGAGCACGTGAAGGGTGGGAGCAGGGCCCCGGCTTCCTGAACCCCATCCTGGCAGGAGTGGGCCTTCCTCTGTTCTCCCCTCCCCTCTCCTTCACTGGGGCCATGTGATGAACTTGGGATTGTGTGCTTCTCAGCCTTCACGTTGCTCCTCTGTTAGCTACAAACTCATGAAAACCACTTGATTCCCTCTTTCCC